TTGTGTAGTTGAGACACAATTAAATTATAACTATCTTTTACACAGAATGAACTTTTACTGTTGAAATGACTGCCTGGGCTCCAGGCACACTGCCACCAAGGAACAGGCATGCCTTAGTTCTCTGCTGCTGCTTCAGCTCTATGTGGCTTAACAGACAGGTGGAGTCTGGCCTGCAAAGTTACCATTATAATGTCAACATAAATAGAATTACATTTTCTCCAGCAATGGAATTAGTGCCATCAGGAAACAAAGTCATTTCAGGTTTCTCCTGCTGTGTTTGTATGAGCTTGGGGTCTAACTACCAACCAGGGAAATTTGGCCTTTGTGCTCAAGTAATGCAGTGCTGTGCTTTCCATTTCGAGATGAAATTACTACTAGTGGGATTTGTGCCTTAGGAAAAGAATTTGTGCTGCCAAGTCTTTTGGTAGTTGAGGCTGCTTTGTGTCACCACATAAAGATAGTTATTTACATGATCATGCATACACAGATGCACAGCTAGAGCTTATTTGCATGAGTGTGTGTTGGTTTGGGATGTCTTTTTAGGAACATTAGTGTGATGTGAATCATTTTAAGTGCAATTTTTATGAGGAAGAATATGAGCCTCCAGGTACCTATTCCCTGTCTCTCTGAGTGCACTCATTTTCTAAGGTTCTGGAGGAGGATGAGGGATCTCAGCAGTAAGGCCTGGGATGCTGCTCCCTGCATCTCCTTATTGCAGACCCAGGCAGGCCATGCTAAGGATTTCCTCGCAGGCCATGTGCCCACATTTTTCCTGGTGAAAGCAAGGATTGGATATAGGAAAGGGGAAGGACTTGGTTAACTATGGACTTTTGTTCTGTGTTTTAATGTACCAGTCAGTTGGGAAATAAATTAATCACTGGAGATTCCTGGAGCATTTCTTGTGCATCAAGAGGAGGCTGGCTTTTCCCTCAGCATCACAGAACACACAGAATTAGCTTAGAGTGATGGTGAAGAGCTAATTCTCCCTATAATTGTGCCTCCTGTGCCAATATTGTAGTGTTCCCAAAAACGGTCTCAAATGAGATTAAAATCAACAAAATGAAGCCAATTTCTCTTACACATAGCCTTAAGCCTTTTTTTCAAAGAAATCTGAAATTATACTGCAGGATAAGTATTCCAGCTGCTGCTTCAGCGGTGTCCAACTGCAGTGATTTAGAGCAAAGCCTCCATGAAAGCAAAGGGAAATTTGTGCTCAGCCTTGCCTGGCCAGCTGGATTCCAAGTGCAAATCAAACCCTTGTGCTGCCCTTATTCAGGGCTAACAGTACAGATCAGTGAGGGTAGGTTGGCATTTTAGGTCACATCAGAAGGGCTCTTCTGAAGCAAATTTCCTGATTTCTGCCACTTACCATGCTTTTCCTTGCATCTCAGGTCAGAGCATAGGAACTGGGCTTTTGGATGAACCAACACCAGGAAGGTAATCCAGGACCATCCTTCCTGAGCTCCAGCCAGTCCAGACAAGGGGCTAGACTGGAAAATTGAGCCACATGCAAAGTGTGCATGTGGGGTCCCCACTACCAGCTGTGGATCTGCTCCTGTTTAGCTTCTCAGTGTAGGTAGAGCCATCTGACACCCAGGTGAAACACTAGTGCATTGCAGACTCTCACTTTGAGTAAATTGGAAATTTAAATAAGTAGTAGAAACCTTAAAATAATACAGTGCTCATCCCAAGTGGTTCAAACTCAAGGCTTTCAACTCCCTAGCACAGTTTCTTTCTTCCCCTCCTCAGCTGAAGAAGCAACTCTGCTTTTAAGACTCTCCGTTACCATATGGATGTTAAAAAAAAAAACCCAGCTCTTTTTCACTATGATTTACATTCCAAATTTGCTTATTTACTCCTAGGTAGATTAATCTTGTCTTTAATTAATTTTATAGCAATTACATGCTTTTAATCTGTGGTTTAGTGATGTATTACTTACAGCTGCAGTGAACAAAATACACACAGGCTGGGGGAAACACATCCCTTGTGTAGGTGGCCACTGTGGGCCTCTTTTAAATTATACCAAGCCTCATGAGCTAAGGCCTAAGTAGTTTTCAGGATTTGAACAAATGAGGACATTTCAGTCAAGGACATCAGTGGCAGCTCTTTGTCGAAAGTGTAAAGAGTGCAAAGCCCAGAAAACTTGTCCCAGAAAGTTTAAGATCACAAACTTACAGGATTATGTTCAAACACTCTGTACTGGTTTTAATCTTCCTCTTGTTTATCTCTCATTGCAAGTGTGTCAAATTACTCGAGTTGGGATAGGAGAAATTAATTCACAAACTGGATTTAAAGTTTTGTTGGACTGACTTCTAGTGTGCAAAAAGTGTACACTTGTATTGCTCTCCTCTCCTGAACATCTGAAGATGACAGCACTAAAGAATTAGTCCCCAGAGCATTATTATCCACTTCCAACTGATGGGGCAAAAAGAGATTTGATGGCTTCTTCAATACACTGTGGTAAAGCTAGGAAAGGAATCCAGATGTCCTGGTTCCTCATCCTGTCCCTGAACCACAAACCACACATCCCTGCCTTATTAGCGACAATCACAGCACATGAAAACAGACTATTTATATCTGAATATTTCATCTGTTCTCACTCGTTATTCCCTAACTCACCAATGTAATTATGTTGGCAGGGCGACAGTCTCTTTTTTCCCAGTAAGAGCAAACAGATTGTTAGGTTTTCTGCTGAGATACAAGCTGCACAAGAAGAACTCCCAAATAAATCAGATCAAAAGGACCATGTTTCCATTGAAACATCCTTGGTCAGGCAGCAGTGGGAGAGAAGGTTTTGTAATATCTTCCTTGGCTGACTCGAACAGCTGCATTAAAAGATCTGATCAAGAAGGGTTAACTTTGAAAAGAATATTAACCCAGAATAGGTTTAGCCAAAGAGAGAAAAAAAAATCCAATAAAAAGGGGCTTTGGAAAGTTCTGGTTTTCAAATGTCGTGGGATATTTAACAGTCCTCAGAGTTTGCATAACCAGCAGCTTTGGAGAGAAAAATGAGATGGTCTGAGCAAAATAAATCCAAGATTCACATTTCATAAATATCACTACAGGTCGCTTTGGTGATTACATATTCTCTGATTAGCACAAACGATGCTTGTTCTGGTAAAACACTTGCTCCCATGTATGGGGAATATCATTGCACCTTGGGCAGAACACAAGGCTCCTTGAGAATTTCCCCGCTGGAGTCAGTGACACCACATTTCACTCTGTATGAGGCAAGGAACTTGCTGGTCTTGGCAGTGCTTGGGCTGCCTCATCCTGAAGTGGCAGCTATGCTCTGTGTCTCAGATGCAGGCATTAGAGACAGATAATGTGCATAATCACAATCCTTTTCATTTCCCAGTGACATGCAGGAGTCAGGTTGTGTTTGTTAGCATGTACACAATATGTACAATAGTCCTGCTCAATAGGACACCACAGTTCATTGCTACAAAATTCAAGTTTCCAAGCAGACTTAGAGCAAAGGCTGAGAGTATAACGTGGATTCATAATGTTCTGGTTTCAAAAAACAATCACCAATTAGCAGGAATATTTTGGTGGGATTTTTTTCTCTGCTGACCACATGCATCCAAATGTAACCCCGAGAAATCTCCCCTGTAGTGCACAGAACCAGTGGTATTTGAGAACACTGGAGGGAGAAGGCAGCTAAAGAGCACCGTGTTTTCATCTCTTGCTAAGTCAGAAACTCTCCACTATGCACGTGCTCTTCTGTTTTCTGCTGGCCAGGGTTTGGTGACTTGGTACAGCCCCACTACAGTTCTGAAACCCTCTGTTGTTTAACACCACCAGTGAAATGGGCACCATAACCTCTGTGTGGCCCTGGAGCTGCACAGGAATGATTTCCTGCTCTCTGCAAAGGAAGATGCCTTCAGATTCTGTTAAATGATAACAAATAAGGAAAAGGAGGCCTCCCCTAGTTCTAGCAATCCTATCCCTCCCACTGGGCTTTCCTAGAGGTGGCAGAGTTGAAACTCGCAGGTTTTATTTTCAGAACATGGTCATTTCTCATTTTGGTATTTTAAAGTAAACAATCCTTGGTTCCCATGTATTATTCAAGTAGAGAGAAGTGGGTATCCAGTGCACAGATAATCAAACATCCAGCCTACACCAGACAACCTTCTTAAATCGCTTGAGAAACTTCCCTATTGCTGTTGTTATCATTCTCCATCCACTTCCTCCAATTATCCAGCACATCAAACATTATTTTGTGTTTTCCCCACAGCTGTGGGGTGAAGCAAGCAAGAGCTGTGTTCCTTCCAGCTCTCCTAACAGTGCTTGCCCACAGGAGAAGAGAGGGAGCTGCACAGATGTTGCTGGTATCACATTAATACAGAAATAACCTGTTGAAAGTAGATTTGTTTTCAAACCTTTCAGTGAGAAAATATCAGTTTCAGATGGAGGAATTAATGATTTTAACCTGCCTATCAAGCTCTTTCATTGCCAGCATGTAAAATAGTTATTGATGTTTCAAGTTGCAAGTAGTAATGTTGAGGGTTTTTTCACTGCTGCCAAAACATTTACATGAAGCTGCTATTCAGATCAAATTATCTTGAAACTGCAAAGCGTGCGTGGATTCCAAATTATTCATTTGGAGAGATTGTTGCACGTTGAAATTACACGGTAGAAACTCACAAAACACCACGATTGCCTCAGATTCACAGGGATGGCAGAAATAGTTCTTGAAAGAACTCTTCTCCTTCAATGCAGTAATGAAACAGACACAGGCTTTGGCTGTGTTTAAACCAGAATTCCACCAGCCCTGCTTTGTGGTCCTGGCTTTGGCTCCACCACCCTTCAGACACAGACAGCTCAAAGAGAGGGGTGCTGGGGAAGTGATGCATCAGGAAGCTAAAGCACAGACACTAAAGAGATGTGAGCTTTTGGGGAATGACAAACCAAAAATGTAAATTCCAAAAGTGCAGTAGACGCTCAGAGGTGCTCAGTGCTGGTAGGATCCTATTAACTATCTCACATTTACTTTTCAGGAACACACCAGTTGCAGAAAACACTCCAGAATATCACCAAAAAGAGGATTGGGCAATTTCAAGTTTTTGATGAACCATCATTCCAGGTATTTTTATGTGCCTTCCTTTGCATAATGTTCTAAATGACTGCTGGTTTTTAGTAAGGATTCTGTGTTGCAATGAAAGAACAATCTGGCCACATTAAAGACATCCCTAAGAAAAAAGTGCTTCCCTCAAAGAACCATTAAGGTAATTTTCCAAGAATCACAGGTGTCTAATTTAGCACCAAAGATAAGGAGTCAATTCTCTCTAGCAGAGAGGGGATGGACAGATAAAAATGCAAAAAAATCTTAGAGATAAAACTAAAAACTCCTAACTGCTGTTAGAAAAGAGCTGGCAAAGAAAAGTGAGGGCTGTAGAAAGAGCTCACCTGTGAGGAATATTGAGTGTGGCACTGGAGCAGGGTCCTTTGCCCTTTCAGTCACTGGTAATTGGAGATTAACATCTAAAATTTGTGTGCTTTTCCCCTGCAGGTTTGTAGTTGATTTGTTCTCATTCCTTCAGTGAAATATCCTGAAAAGCAACAAAAAAAGCAATAGGGTGAGACAGGTTCCCCAGATGTGGTGGGGAGTGCTCAATGGGTGTTTGTCTGCAACAGGAAATCAGTGCCTGTGTGCTCTGCCACTGTGCTGTGTTTTATCATGGCATGAAATCACAGGGATTTCAGCATTAGCCTGATCAGCAGATACTCTGCACTGGTGGGTGTCCTGTGCATGGCTCACAGCTGAGGCATCCTGTTCAGAACAATCTGATACACTTCTCTGGGAAAGGGAAAAGGAGTTAAAGAAAGAGCCAGATCAGGAGGAAAGAAATACTGATGATCTCTTCAAGGGCTGTGCTTTTTCTGCTTCTTCTTTTAATGTGCATGCAGTGACAGCTCTGTGAGTAAAATACCAGAAGAATGTCCATGAGCTGCCACAGTGTACACATTTCAAAACAATCTAATACCTGTTCTCTGTTGCATTCAGAACAGATGGAGTTTTTTCCTGAAAAGACCTAAGGATTGAGGGTTGCACATCTTAGGAAAAAACCACTTCTGCAGTACTTCTGACATGGTACCTCTGGCAGTGCTCTTCCTGTCACCTGGGAGAAGAGGGGCACGAGGTTTCCCACATCATCTCCTTCCTTGCCAGCCCTTGACGCTTCCAGGAGGGAGATATCTCTTTGTTCTCCACCTTAAAAGAAAAAAAAAAATCTGAATTAGCGGCTTTGGTTCATTAGGGCATTTCAACACCTAGTTTAAAGCTTCAGATGGGCTCCAGTGAGTACAGGAAGTGTGGGGGCAGTCAGAATGACACAAGCACATATGTAAATATTTCCCTGGGTGAGGCTTCAAGTTGCATTTGGGAAAATGTGAAGTTACATAAAGAAAAGAGCACATTAATTCCTTTTTTTTTTTTTTCAACAGTATTTAACTACATTTTTCTTGAAGTAGGGATGTGTGAAAAGCTGCACTATTGTAGATAAAAATATATAAAATGGGGCAGATTAAAGATTTGGAAATGAATTTCTCAGGAGACCTTTTCCAGTCTGGACTCTATTGCCATATCCTGCCAATTGGTTTGTCTGCTCTCCCTGTGAACATAACATTTGATACTGTAGGCAGTGCAAAGATCTCTGATAAGCTTGCTCCTTCCTGCAGCACTCTGTGCTCACAATGAACTTCTTAGATACAACTTTCAGCTTCTCTGCATCACCCCCATTCTGCATTTTTTTCACCATGTGCTTTCTCCTTTTTGCACCCTTTGCCTTCATCCCGTGGGGGACCATTCTCAGCTTCCAAATCTCCTGTGAGGACAAGGATCTCTGAGCTGCCACCTCCTGATCCAGTTCACCCTCTGCCTGCTGGATGCACACTGCTGAACTGGTAGGATTTGTTTGGGATTTTGCTTCTTACCTGTCCTCACCCTTTGCTGGTTTGTACTGGGGTAGAAGCTGCTGGAGGGAAAGGTGAACCTAAGGAATTAAAGGGGTTTCCAGCAGAAAAATTCCAGAAACAAAGCTGATCTTCAAGGGGTGATGCTGATTCCATTAATGGTACTTCTTGCAGTGCCTTTACTGCTTTTTAGTTAAGCGCACAATGCAGCTCTGTAATTAAGCTGCAGGCATCATAAGGGACAAAAGTCACATATGGCTTTTTTCCCTGTTTTTAATTTTCTTTCTTTTAGTTATTACTGGGCCCACTAGATGTGAAGAACAGTTGTGCTTGAATTTTGCCATTTTAGATTAATCTGTAAAACTCATGGTGTTTCCTGAAAATTATATCTTTATTGCAAGCTAGATAAAGCACATTTTTTCTGAATGCCTTCTTTAGTCCAGATATTTTGGATTAAAAAAGAAAGGCAGGAATATTTGGAATTCAAATTAAAAATTACCTGGGAATAGGAGAAATCTACAAGCCTTGAAATTTAGGGAGAGCAGGCCCGTCATCCACAAGGCAAGCCATCTCTGTTTGGAAAAGTGTCTTGACACCCTCACCTGTAAGTGATGAATGAAGCTGAGTTCCAAGTCAACATCCAGGCCTGCTTAGGTTGAATTTCTGTGAAGAACCCATTACAGTATGCCAGTAAACATCCACAGGGCTGCTTTAATTTTCATCATTGGAATAGGCCAGCCTTAAGAAGCACCCTGCACATGCTGTCTTATCCCTGCCCCTCACCATCCCTGAAATGCTGTGTTCAGTCAAGGTGTTCAATCACCTGAGTGTCCAAGAAAGGAAGAGCAGCTGGAATAAGCTGTGTATCTTGGTGTTGCAGAATCAGCTGGCTGGTTAACATGTATTAGGATTCCATTTTTTTGCCACAGAGGCAATAAAACATGATTCTAGCCTGCCTCTTACCGAACCTGGCACTGGTCTCAAAACAAAACCCCAAAGCCCTGGAGAAAGGCATTCCTTTAGGAATATGTATTTCTGTACCTTGATCTCACCAAGAGGTAGAAATGTTCACAGTTTCTGTAGCAAGGATGCAATGTGGCTTGCTAGGAATAACCTTTATGTATCCTTGTGTGCATCTGGCATTAACAAATGCTTCCCACCTTACAGATTTCCTCTGTAAGCTTGCTTCCTCTGGCTGATAGCAAGTTCCCAGTAAAATCAGTTTGTACTACAGAAGCAGAGGAGTCTTTGTCAGAGAGAAATTCCTCCCAAACCATGGATAATCATTATCCCCTCTGAACTACCTAATTATCTTTTGGGAATTTTGTTTATTGTGTGGAAAAAGAAACAAGGGGTTTTCTTGCCAGCTCCCTCAGAAGTGGCCCAAATGGGCACTGTCTGAGGGAGATCACAGGCTCAGGCCGCTGTCCCATTGTCCAGCTGGGTGCTGCAATAGCCTGGCCCCATAAAACAGACATTTAGCTGAACAGAAGCAATTAGCCCTCCATCGTGGCCCCTGCTCACAATAGCAAAACCAGCTGATGTTCTCTTAACTTGGAACAATGGGAGGACAGGCATGGGCTGTGGAACTCTTACAGGCACAGTAACTCCTTCCAGAGGGGGACCGTGAGAAAGTGGAGCCTGTAAAGAGCCTTTCAGTGGATGAACTCCTGAACAGTCTTTTATCCAGTGAACTCATCAGTCAGCTGTCTGTGGGTGCAGCTCTCTTTAGAAAACCCCAGCTCAACTGCACCATGCCAGTTTGTAGTGATAAACCTTCCTGCTGAATGATATTCTGTCTCAGCACTGTGTTCACCCCAGTATGGATTTATTCAGCAGCATCTTTTCCCTCCATCCCTCTTTCACATTCCTTACTGTGCTTGTTCCTCTTCCTAATGATCTGGGAATAGCAGTGACCACCAATGAGAGCATGGCAAGAACTGAATGTTGCTCATGACAATGGCAGTGAGGCTTCACTTAAGATTCAGATGCTGAGAAGATTCCAGCAAAGAAGCTGGTGAGCTCAGAAATTCAGCCCTTCCATTTGAATCCAGTAATTCACTTCCTTTTGACTACTTTCTCCTCCGCTTTTGCCACCACCCCTAATGAGTGGATAGCCAGAACTCAACTGCTAGCTGTGTTCAATAAATGACAGCCCTTTAGAGCTGTGTACAGCGCTGTGCCTCTTCCCACCTGGAAGGTCTTCCAAGCACCTTCAGGCAATAGTTCATCCCTTGCAAGTATGAAACTCTGAAAACACAAAGCCTTTGCTAGTGGCAAGGCAAAGACACCATTAACTTTGTGATAACAGTCTACAGTAAATAGAACCCCCTATTTCATTCAGCATCTTTGGCAACAGTCCAGTGATTTGGTTTCCAGCTGATGCCATGAGTTTTCTGTAGGCACACATTCCTTATGAGCCTCGTTTCTCCTCGCCCTTGTGCTAAATTTCCTTGTTTCCTTGTTTAGCAGTTTCGATAGCACAACCCCAGAGTTCTGATTTCTGCCTGGGCAGGCCTGTTGCCAGCCAGCTGCAAATGGATATTCTGTTGCTTTTGGAATCTTCTTCCTAAAACCTAATCTAAAATCAAATTAATTATTTAGTGATTGAGTAAGAATTTTCAGTGACTATCACAGAATGGTTTGGGGTTGGAAGTCCAGCCTCCAAGATGTCTCACATCTGCTGCTGTTACCATGGTTTGCATTAAAAACCCCTTTCCTTTGTTCAGCCCCATCATGGATCTGTTTCCCCATCGTGTCTACTCATTAAATCTTCAGCAAGAACTAACAGAGTTAGTTCCAACATCCCAGTATAGGATACTGAGAGGACTGGTGGGACTTTGTGGTCACTGAAATGTAACTGTGACATCTCCCCAAAAGTGCCACTGGAAGAATGAGGAGTGAAACAAAAGAAAAGCCACTACATTATGAACAAGCTGGTAGCAGAGAGCCCATACCCCTGGATTATCTGTCCATCCAGGGACCTGGGTAAAACAACCAAACAGATTTACTGGTTTTATGGGCATGGTTCTCTTGCTCACCAATAGATGGGAGCAGAGATTTCTCTATTCAGGATATTTTCAGGCTACAGCGCTTGCAGTTTTTTGTACTCTGTGAGGGGCAAAAAATAAAACCAAACAATGTCAATATAGCTCATTCATGTGTCCACAGGGGGAAGGGTATTGTTTTGTTTAGTAGCATACAGATGAGGTTTGTGATGGGAGTCAAATAGAAACCAGGAGTCAGCACTCTTGTATTCTTTAACACTGGAATTCTCTGGTTTGGTATCTACAACTGGTCAGAGGGTATTGAATAAATTTACAACCCCTCATTGTTATTTCCCAGATTATAAGTGTGTTTTGCTTGGATCCGAGCCTTTACAAAAGCAATTGAATGTGTCCTAAACTTCCATTCCTTTTTCTTACCAGATCAAAGAGGAGAAGCTGTCCAGAGGCAAATAGCTAAGCCTCTAATGAAATGATCAGTGAATTGTTTCTCTCTTGTGTTAGAAGCATTTAAATTACACTATTGCACTTAGGGCACTCTACACTTCTGACTTGTATAGCAGGACCCCAGCACCTAACACAAGCCAGACAAATAACTTCAGCACTTAGCTTTCAGCATGGGTCCCTGCCCTCTGACCTCTGCTGTTCATCAGAGGCGAGCCAAAAGCTTTGTTAAAAAAATATTAATTGGGCCTGACACTCCTCTAGGGCCGGGCACGTCACAGACGGTTTCTAGCAGCAAGGAGCTGTTTGCAAGAAGCAAAACCTCGTGTATTTTCTGCTCAACAGGAGGCTGCCTTAGCCCTGCTGGAGGTGAAGCAAAGCCTGATCTGTGGAAGCCCGGGAATGGCAGTGCAGCACCTGCTCAGGTGGCACCTGTGGGACACTGTCAGGACTCCTCCCAGCTGCCAGCGAGGGACAGGAGGGGCAGTTTGCATAGCCTGAGGTTGGTTGGTTTGTTTGGGGGATATTTTGTTTATTCCCTCTATTCCTGCATAAATATTTTGTGCAAGCATAGTAGGAATACAAACTGAAGTGCACTGGAGTTGCCTATAAAGACAAGGGCTGGTGGGACAGAGAGTAAATAAACCTCTCTTCTTTGTCTGCAGAGGCAGAACAGGGTGCAGAGGCAGAGCAGAGGATTTCCTCTCTGCTGCCCCTCCTCTGCACCTCACCCCAGACAGGGCCTTTGTTGAGCAGCAGTGGGATGTGACCAGGGAGGTGCTTTACCTGAGATTCTGCCTGGTTCCCATCAAGCTCTTTATTCCTTACCTGTTTTTCTTTCACTTTTATGTTCATAATTTAGAGCTGAAACTTCCAGAGACAAGTTGGAAGTAGGAGCATCTGGAGCTTTCATGAGAGAGGCATCCAAGCTCCTGAAGAGAGCCTAAAGAAAATGTACTTACCTAAACTCCTTCAGTCTTGTTTTTTAAGAGATTTCTTCTTTATATTAAAAGTGAGTTTACCACCCCTTCCTATGAACCCAGCCTTCCAAGACATAGAAACCTTCCAGAGTCTTGGTGTTGTCCCAGGGTGTGATGTTGGCTTTGAACAGCATTTCTCAGCTTTTTTTTCCCTTTACTTTACTCCCTGATCTTTCCCTTGCTTTACTCAAGGGGAAAGATCTCTCCAGCTCCCTTTCATGACAGGGCTTTTCTGATGCAAAAGTCTAAAGTGATGATTTCTCTTTAATTCTGGCAGTAATCCTGCAGATAACACCACTCTTAATTTGCACTAGAGTAGAAGTTGCCAAAGCTCTGGGGAAAGGAAAAAAAAAAGGAGAAAAACAAAGGCAGCTAACGACATGCTAACTTTGGAAGTTAAAAACTCTGATTTGTACTTTGGGTGTGTTCCAGATTTATCAAAGCCATGCCTTCATTCCAGTAATAAGCTCCACTAAAATCTAAACTCCTCTCTATAAAACTGAATTTTAACTTCCTAATGTAACAGTAACAGCAGCCTTTCTGAAAAGATAGTTTCTGTTAGTGATGAGTTAAAAATTAAAATTCAAACCTTATCCTGCAAGAGGGAGCAGTTTCACACATTTTTAGACTGTTTATGATAACATGGAGGAGGAGTAGTGCAAAATCACCCAACAAAACATCAGATTAAGATGCCCTAGTGATTAAAAATTTTAGGATGCCAGTGCTCCCTACCTTGTGTGCCTGCTCTGGTCTGGAAGCCAGCAAAAGCCCTTGTGTAACTCAAGTGCAGAGGCTCCAGGCCCAGCCTGGGCTTTGCACTCAGGTTATTGGGCTTCGACAGCCCCATGGCATTTTGGTTTTACATAATCAGCTCTTTTTGTTATAAGCTATGGGCTTCAGGTAACAGCCATGAAAAACAATTTCAGGTGGAAGCAGCACACTGGGTACAGACCAAGACAGAAAACATTCAGAAACATCAAATATTTCTTACTTTTTGTAATCACCTGTCTTACAGCAGTTGAGTGTTGTCTGCTGTTTGCTGACAACTTGCTTTGCAGGAAAAACAAAGTGAAAGAGACAGGAACAGAGGGCTTTTCTGCATTTCTGATGGACCAGTAGTTATGCCCTCCCATGACAGATTGGCCAACAGCAGAGAGTAAGACAAATATGTGCAGTCTGAAGTGTCTGGGAGCAAACTCACACATGCCTTCTCTGTACTGCTTTTGTTTGCAGAATGTTTCCATCTGGATGAGTAGCAGGAACAGGAAAGCATTTGAAGCTAGGAAATCCACCATACTGCTGTCTATAAAGAACTGATAGGATTTTTATGTGGAGCCCTAAAGAGAATGACATGCAATGGTTTTTTTTTTCTTTTTACCAAATTGGAGAGCTCAGATGTTTGCAAGCAAAACAAAATAAACTCAGGCATTGAAACTCCTTCCCGAAATGTGGCCGATGCCATGGCACATCCCCAGCACATGCATTGTGCACCCCTGGGCACTGCTGGGACACTGCTAATGGCACCCATGGCACAAAAGGGAAGGTCATTAGCAGAGAATGATTATTGCTGCAGCTAGAAAGTAGGCAAGTAATCTTTTGGGTTTCAGTCCATTTCCTCAGTGTTTTCAAACCAGCACCCAATCTTCCCAGACCCCACTCTGTGGCTGTTCCTTTCTTCCTTTCTTTTCTTCCCTCCCCTTTTTGCAGGGACTGTGGCTTATTCTGATTCACTCCATTTCTTTCTTCTCAAACAGCCACAGGGCAGGCTCGCTGTTGCCAGGGATATGGTCCATGCATGTGACATCGTGCCACCAAAAACAATCCCGTTTATTTCTGATGTGACGCTGCTGAAACCGTGCAGCCAGAATGGGAGCAGGACACCTCAGTCAGCCATGAAATTTTGTGAGAAGAATTTTCCTTAAAGGAAGTGTTCTTAAAAAATAGCTCTCGGGGAGAAATGTGCAGGGTTTTCTCATAAAGTGGTTGTTGGCAAAGGTTTCCTTGCCAAAGTCCAGTCAGAGTATCAGTGAGGGATGGTAAACACATGCCATTTTGACAAGAAATTAGTAGGTTACATAGCACTGTGGAAAATATTAGACTTTCTTCTTCCCCTGACCTCAAAGAGGCTGTTAGGAGATTAAGAATCTCCAGCTCTCAAAGGTATAGCTGTTTTACCAAAATTCAATTAATGAAGAATAATATTTAGGGAACAAGAGAAAACACCTCTGTTGCATGTGGAGTGCTAGGAATAGATGGAAAGTTGCCTGTACAAACAGTTCAGCAACTCTGGGATGAATTATAGGAGCATTTGTATGCATGATTGCCCATCTGTGTAAAACAAGACGTGCAGTCACACACAGGAATGATGTGCAGGGCAGGCCTGCACATGGGGCTGTTATTAACTTGCTCCAGCACAAGCCGTGTCCCATCACATCCGAGTGTGACCCAAAGAAGTTGAGATAAATCTATGGAAGTAACTAAATAGAGGAGGAGGCCTCACTGGGAGGAAACTCAAGGTACGTTATCTCCATCTGTGTTTCTGTGTTTGGGGTTTATTTAGACTCAAGTCAGATTTTGGACTGTTACTTCTCCACTTGAAGTTTTTTTGGCAATTCCAGGAGGGCTGGAGGCTCAGATCCAGCGGGTTCCTTCCAGCTGTGCAGCCCAGCGGGCACTGGCAGGGTGTGGGGAGCTGCAGGACTTCAAACCAGGGGTGCTGTCAGGAGCTCTGCCTTGCACAGCTCCCCCCTCAAGTACCAGCTGCAAAATGTCAACAGCACCTTCCTCAGAGAACACAATTAATTAGAGAGGCCTAATTAATTAGTGTCAGGAAAGCAGATGTAACGATTATGGCAGAAGTAAACAAATGTACATATTGTAAATTGTTCTGCAAAGGATTTGTTCTGGAATCCCTGTAGCCCTTTCACTCCTCCCCAGGATGCTATTGGGAAGGCCATCAGGGAAAATGTAGAGATAAACTGCAAATTGATGAGGAACTAATGTACTTTTGTAAGTTTATATCTCAAGAAAACAATCAGCAGACTCCTTTATTAACCCCTTGGGACTTGGGGGTGAAATACAATCCCGATATTTAATTTCCAGATCGTGCAACATCATGTACCACAAATAAGTCAACTGTTTAAAGTCTGTTTAATGTGAGTGTGAAAAAGCAAATGTGGAGCCACCCCAGACTGGTGTTTGAGAGGAGCCTTTAGACTTTGTAAAGGATCTGCACTGAATGAAATCTCTTATACCTTGTATATAAGAGGATGCTCCAAGCTCAATATAACAGACACTGGAATAGTGAAACACACTTGGAAAACTCAGATAGAAAAATTTCTGAGCTGCCTTTCAAAATTTCTTCAAGATGATGAAAAGGACAAATTAGACTGGTTAAGGATGTAGCTGTAGAAGCAAATGGGACTAATGTACTGGAAGAACCAGTCAAGATACTAAAAAACCAAGAGTACTGTGTGTGAAAGAAAATGCATTGCACAGCCAGTGCCATGCTGAGGGGAGCAGTCCCTCAGGCAGCCAGGAGCAGTCACCTCAACAGGGATTTTTACACCTTTTCTACACTTCAACAGGGATTTTTACCCTTCACTCTGTGCTATTGTTTGCTCTGCAGGTAATGATGGCTTTGGTGCAGAGAGGATGGGCACTGGGATGTACTTCAGGGTAGAGCCAGCTCACTAATTCGTGCTGTGAAGGTGGAAAACATCTCCTTGCCTTGGTGAGGAATTAAAGGATCAAGGTAGGCAGCAGCAGCCTGTGAGTAGGGTGCTGCAAGAGGGAAGTTGCAGTCAAAGGCCACTGCTCTTCCACCTCCTTGTGGTTCCCTTTTCCTCCAGATGATGCTGATACAGGTCAGAAAGAGAGGCTGCCATGGCCCATGCCAGGATATCTCCTTTATTTGTTCAGGTGACAGCATTTCCTGTGCAAAGGACTGCCAGGTGCTGAGCTGCTCATGAATGCTGCTCCCCACCAAGGTGAGTGCATTGCCCTGCTCACAGGAGATATTTGTGGATTTGGGGTTTTGTATTATGGGCTTTGTGCTTATGTGAGCTTCTCCTTGCTTCAAAAGCCAGGATTTAAAGGTGAGTACCTCTGTTTTATCATGGTGCAGTGAGTTGCCAACTTCCTGAAGGGAATGAGCTTGGTTTCTGTTCACAGACATTCACTTCTTTAGTGCTTGTCTGAAACAATTTTTGTTCCAGTGAGTAAATGAGCAGTGAAATAAGTAATGAGGGGACTGAAGGTGCAAACAGAATAGCTAGAACAAAGTTTTAAAATCATTCCAAACAAACGTACCCATGGTAGGATGTGTGAGAAGAGGAAAGGCAGCCTGTTCCTGTGCCCAGCCATAGGATGGAGAATCTGTTCAGGCAGCTGACAAGGCAGATGGATAATTAGTGCCATGGGTTAGGACCTGGGCAGGCACTGCTGGTGACCCGGTAGTTGCTTTTGGCACTTTATTTGGAAATCTCCTCCTCCTGCTTTAGGTATTGGCACAGTAGCATGAGACCATCTTGCATGAGGGACTGGGGCAGCAGCAAGACTGCTTGACTTTTTTGAATCTTAAAAGGAAAACAAAACCTTTAAAAGAATGTTTGAAATCCCCCTTTTTAATTCTCTCCTAAAGTCTGAATTCTCCCCTTTTAAATGGGACAAAGGGCTCTTTTTATTCTTCTCTCTCATTTAAAAAGTTACTTTTTTGTGTGCATTCTAATGCATTTTAGAGTTTTTACAAGACACCTCTGCCGGCTGTCAGCTTCCAGCTAGAGCTTCTATGATCTGAGCACCTATTCAGGCAATGGTGACTTTACATTAAATAGTCAATTACAGGTTTTACACAAACAGAAAATATAAATAATATCTAGGGATTTAATGCACTAAAAGCCAACCAGTTCTCTCTAACATCCCATCCTATTGTACTTTGTTTTGTATTTTAGATAACACTTAAGAGGCAGGGGGGTAATTAAGGTAGTTGAATGAAATGCTGTGATAACAGAGAACATTTTCTTGTTTGTAAGAAGTCATTGGTCAAATCATGCAGCATCTACCTATGCAGGAATTCTGAGTGAGTGTAGCACCATTACTGCATTTCAGAGCCCAGGCTCATTTGTGGAGCTTGTACCAGTAGATGTCCACAGGCATCACCTTTCCTGCCTCTTCCATTTGCCTGTCCTCGTGCTGCACCCACACAATGCTGCCAGTGCCTTTCCAAACCCCTGTTCTTTTTCAGCAGTCAGTGAATGACAAGCCAAAAGCAAATGGTATCAAATTTGGCCAGGCAGGGCAATATCAAAATGAGGCCCAGCAGGGTGGTGTGGCTGCAGTCTTTGCTACCTGCCTGCAGCTGAACAGGTTCCATCCTCATATCCTGTACATTCAGCTTAATTGGCCTGGCCCTTCCAAAGAGAGGCAGCAGCACTGATTTACTGCACTGTATAAATGTGTTTATAGCTTGGCACCAACACACTTACGCTCACTATTTTCCAACATGGATTTCCAATAAGCCCTTTGCTCAAATGAGTCTATTAACTTTAAAGTGCCTGAAGGTGAAACTGAATTATGAGAGGCAAGCTTTGGGGATTGAAGCCCAAAGCAGCTGGGAAAGGCTCCCAGAGTCTTCGCTTAGTACCTGTTGTGGTTGATATTTATATTAAGGAAAAATAATGTAGAAAGTAAAAGCAAACCTGGGACACACATGGCCTCAGCCTGAGCTGCCTTTCACTTCAGCTGGCACTCAGACCCATCCCATTCCACACAATATTAGAGCAGCTCCTGATTTAAGCCAGTGTGCAATCAGAACATAACCCATTCCTCCTCCCCTTAGGAATTTAACTTGCAAGAGTCACGTTGTCCTGTTTCTGCAGCGGGGCACCACAGCCTGCAGAGAAGCTCATCTGGCCCTGGTCCCTTGGGCAGTGAATGTCACAGCTCTGTTTGGTGTTCTGCAGAGCTGGGACACGCTTCCCTCTCCTTTCCCAGCCTGGGGGCTGCACACAGCTGCTCTTGGAGCCTCTCAGTGCTGCCCTGCTCACTGCCAGAGGGGCTGGGATTCTTCCATGTGGAACACCAATTACCATCCCTGCAGGGACAGGAAATCAGGCAGAAAGTTTTAGTGGACCCCTAAGTACAGTCCATAATTACCTACCTGTACTTGCTCAAGGTTACATCTCCCCAGCTAAGGAGTAAGACTGATTTCTAGTTGCTAATAGCTTGACTTTATCTGCAGTAAGAAAGGAACTCCTTAATACCCTTGGAGGGAAAAAAGATTAGTACAGAATGGAATTAAATTATTAAATTCGGAAAAGTAGAATTTTGGATTAATGTCAGGGGTAAAACTGCCATGGTCATGTCTACTAAACTGTGGAATGATCTCCCAGGGTGAGTGAGTGATGGAGCCCCTCAGTGTGAAGAATGAAAACAGCATCAGGCAAAGCCTCAGGAAATCAGAGTCTGAGGAGGCAGCATGGCCTGACTGTGGCAGTGCAGGGACTGTGCCTGTGTGGGAATGTCCATTGTCCATTCACAGAACCTGTTCCTGTAAAATCTGTTGTGTTGCTCAGGTGGCTGTGATCTGCAGAGCTTTAAATCCTGCTTGCAGTTAACTTGTTGGGAATCTTACAGGCTGATCCAGCAGCAAGCCCTCCGAGGACACCAGTGACTCTGGCTGATGCTCCCCTGTCCCATCCTCATCATGTGATGCCTTAAAAACGCTTCAGACTTGCATGAGGTAGAACATGGGTATTACTGGGCATTTCTGCTTTAAGAAAAAGTCTGCTTTTGCTGTTACAATTTTTTAATCCCAAGTTATGGGCTGATCCAAGGAACTGTGGCTGCTCTGTTAGTTGGGAACTGCTCCCTTCCCACTCCAGTTACTTTTTGTGCCAGTAAATTGTTTGTGTGGCAAGTGAAGAAATGTCTGTGCACCAAGGTCAGGGTGCAGTCTCTCTCTCCATGGAGATCAGCTTGCATTGCCTTGTTTCTGGATGACACCCATATGAAAGACTTGCAGACGTAATGAGAGGATACAGGTTTTAAATTTAAAATTATGATATGCTGTTGTCACATTATTAAACAGATTGAATTTGTGAATTTTTGTAGATTACCCAAATTTAGGAAATAGTATTTCTTAGTGCAGTATTACTTGGACCTGCTGTGATGAGTAAATACTGGATTGCATAGACAGTCATTCAGATTAAAGACAGTGGGATTAGATGAGGGAAAATTCACAAACTTGCTTTGTGTAACACTCAGACACCTCACAAGGTGTGAGAGATTTTACCATCCAAAACAAAGGTGTGGACCCATACTAGTCATGACCCTTTTAGCTCTTCTCTGGAAATTCTTGTTTCTGCATAAAAGAAGAAACAGGAGCAGAGAAGCAGCGAGTGAGGAAATGCTCCCTCTCCAGTCTGTTTGGACTAAGTGTGGGAAGCTGAGAGGGAGCAGGGCTGCCTGAACCTGACCTAGGGTGTGCAAACAAATCCATCTCCTGTGGCTTTCCTCCCCGTAGACCTGGGGAACAGAACCTCTGCAGGTAAGCAGGACTGCTTCAAAGATATGTGGTGGCAATTCCAGTTTTCCTTTGTACCACAGAATATGTGGAGCCCCTGGATTTTGTCCAGCCACTCAGAACAAGGCATTCAGTCGCCTGTCTTTAGCTCCCTGGCACCAGTCGTGAGGCAGTGCTGACAGACTCCTCAAAGTCTCGTGGTTTGGGTCTGTTCAGGGAAAAAAAATAATGTCTCTTGCCACTCATCAGATATGCTGGAGGGCTCAAAAAAATAGACATGGAAAAGCAATGGCCATGGCTACTGTCCTGGCTCTTCACAGATGTTGGCTTTCCCATTCCTCAGGTTAAACTGCTGCTGCTTCACAGTGCACTTCATCTCCTGGAATGAGGTTGGTGCCATTCATTTATCATCTGTAGTCTGGAAAGCTTATCCCCTATGATTTTTGGTTTTACTTGGCTGGCTCCATTTGCATGGTAACTCCCTTCCAGTATTTCCCATTGTGGCTCAGAATGGCTAGGGAGCTGCACCAGGTGGGAGAGCCAGGATCTCAGAGGAGCTCTGCAGCACAGGTCCAGCAGAGATGTCTGATCCAGCAAAACTCTGCATCAGCCTGGGGCACAAAATAGATCCTTAGAATGAAAACTGAATCTTTCATTTGCTCTTCATATTTTCTGCCCTTGCTTTGGGTTTGTTTTCTTCTCTTTTCTTCCCTTGCAATTGTCAAGGCAGCATCTGGGAGTTTTATGAAACAAATGTTACCCATTAAAAGCCCATCACTGCCTGCCAGAAAGGAAAATGGCATCTTATTGAAAACAATATGTAATGGTTATTGCTGTCTTGTTGCAAGTTATGCCCTTGAAAAATATTAGGGACTTATTTAGTAGCAACTGATGGTGAGGGAAAGCCCAACTAAACAGAAAATTAACTGTTGTATTATCTTTTACACAGCTTCAAACACCATCCTACAAATGCCTGCTTTGTTGTTTTCATAGCTGTGTTTACAGTTGCCTCAAGGACAAGGAACAACATTTCTCCATTATGCTTCTGTTGCCTCAAATAGTCACAAATAGTGTCACAAATAATTCCTGTCTGGTTTCAGTGTCACAAATAGTGTCACAAATAATTGCTGTCTGGTTTCACATACCAGCCTTGGAGCAGCAATGGAGACACTGGTCCTGACCAGGAGAGCACAGCTCCAGCCATGTAAGAGGGCTAGAAAACAGGGTCTTCTGCATGAGGAGTGATCTCTCTGCAGTCTTGGAAACGCTGTCTCACAGCTGGTTTGAGTTTCTGATTCATTTTGACAGCACCTGACACATTCCTGCCTTAAAGGCCAAAGCTGCTCCTTGCCAGCCCCGTGTGACAAATGAGAATATCCGTGATGGGTTAATCTGCTCTTCATCAGCTGAGCCTGAGCGCTGCTCTTGGAAAGGGACTGGGGACGTTCAGCACAGGCACTTCTGGGGCTGTCAAAAGCTCAGCCTGAGCTTTGCTGAAGCAGACCAGAACTGATGGATGTCATAGCTGAGAAACACTGGGGCATCAAGGCAGGTGCCAAGTTTTCCCAGTCACTCGGGATTACTCTGTCAGTGAACCTGACTGCATAACTAAATCTGCACAGGTGCCCTCCAGACAGAACAGGTTTTGCAGGACCTCACTGGCTAAAGAGCTCCAAAAAAGGTACTTTGTGTTGTTCTAATCTGTGTTGCTGGAACTGAAAAATAGACAAAGGAATTTGAAAATATTTTGAAAAAACCCTGAACCAACTTGGTTTATTCCATGTATGTCCACAGTGGCACCGCAGGTTTGGCTGGAGTGTTTGGCATAGTAAAATTAATATGGATGTTTGGGCTTCTCAGAGTTTGGGAATCACAGAATCATAGAATCATTTAGGTTGGAAAAAAACCCCTTATGATCACTGGGTCCAGTGGTGAAATTCTAAATGGGCTTGGGGCTGCCCCCAGAGGAATGATTGCCTTGGGTCTCAGCAATGCCGTGCACTTGGGGCTGTTCAAAGCTGAGCCCAGCTCAGGAGTGATGTGAAACATCATCCTGTACAAAACATGAATCTAACCCTACAAAGGTCAGAAAAACCTAACTGGCCACTTGATAGGTGATGCTCCAGCAAACCAGCCATCCATTGGAATTCC